AGTCAGCAAAATTCATACACTGATGTCCTCAAGGATTCATGGCCCAGTGGATAAAAGCGTTGGTTATATCTAGTGACTTGATTCAAAGAGTTGTGAGTTCAATATCTGGTTACAAAAGCTTGGGAGATAACTGATACTGAGGCATCCGGAAGAGCACGTAAAACTAGAACAATCTACCCCGGTGGACGAAATAAAGGGTTCCACTCAAAATTCCAATCACCGGAAAAAGGCCGGAGCGTACAACGGCCGAAAAACGGGCGTGAATATAGCAAATAATATAAATAATTACTTTTGTGATGCCAACGAACACTCGTTGCCACTTTAATAATATCATCGAATACTCGTTGTCACTTCCATACTACTCGTTGTAGTAGAGACTTTGTAATCGCAACTATAGTAACGCCGTTGAACAATACTGGTGTCAGACGCCTTCGAATAACACTCGCACTAATAGTACTTGATCGATAATACTCGCTCGAAAAGTAATCACCGTATTGATCCGAAGAAAGAATAGTGCAGAGAAGAGAATAGCAGTCCGAATAGTATAGAGGATAGAGTAGAAATACAGATCCGAATAGTAATAGAGGATAGAATAGAAATAACGATCCGACACACGCTAGCTCCTATATATGCGTTTTCTCTATGGTTTCGGCGTCTACTTAATTCAATAATGGGATCGCCCGTGTTTGCTCACCGGCGATCTATGTTCAAATTCAAGTGTCTGCAACGACACTTTCTTCCTATATAACAATTACAATACTTCATCTTAGAAATATAGACAGATATTGAAGGATTACAGGAGACAGAAAATGATGACTGATGTTGCATTTGAAGATTGTAGTTGACAGGAAAAATTACCTGAAGGAGAGTTCCATAGGTAATATGTGTCGAGAGAAGAAACTATTAGGATAGAACTTACGGTCCCATCTTGCTTATTAGAATAGCATATTAGGCAGCTCAAGTGTTGTCCATCATATTTTAATCAAATATATTTAATAGTATAGGCGTCGTTTAATTTCAGATATATAAAAATTGCAATGGGTCATATGAAAGAGAAATGAGAAACAAGATAGTTGGAAATTGCCAAAAAGGTGACCATAAAAAGGAAAATCAAAGAATTGGCAAAAGAATGGAAACACCTGCTAACTGTGCTGATTCTATAATCTTGCCAGAGCTTGAAGTACGCTAATCGAGTGTTGTTTTTCATTATAAAGAAATATGATATGTCCCGGAAAGGGATATATTTGAACGAAATAGCTTAGTGGCTTTGGCTACTATAACCAAGTAGAATACGGTAGCAGTAATCGACTGGTACGCGTCGTAGTCGCAGGTAAGAAGTGTAGATCAATGGCGTAGTCCAATGGACGTCGTTATAGACTTAGCTCTCAGACTAAGGCTCTCCTGACTCTCCTACACGTTCGTCGGTATTTATGACGGACATCAGCCAATCATATTCCAGTGAGGGGGGGACACAGGTGTACGCATATTCCATTATATCAAAATATATTTAATAATATTGTCATTGATATTTTTTTTATTTAATTTCAGATATATATATAAATTGCGATGAAAGATATTTACATTGTGGAAGCACAATATTGGAAATTGAGAAAAAGGTTGATGAGAAATCTTTGAACAATCAAAAACTTGGAAGCATTGGCAAGAAAAGAAGAATAAAGTTTGCTTTGTGAATGTTATGAAAAGAGATTTGAGCAAATGTAACAGGATAATAAACAAAGAAAGCGATTAACCAGCAACAGCATATTTGAAGAATTTGTTTTTACGAATATAAATTGAAAAGATTCAAAATATGAAGGGCTTTGGATTAGTTATGACATTTGATCACAAAGAGAAATATGTCGCGTGAAGAAGTACATGAAAACTGGTTTTCCGACAGTATTTTTAGTGATGAAAGTAGAGCTACATTGGATGGAACTGGTGACTAGTCTAGAGGTATCCCAACCTCTAGACTAGTCACCAGTTCCATCCATTCAAGGAAATACTTAACCAACATAACAATAAGTGGAATTGGCTCAACGTGATGTAGGGTATTAAGGTCATTGCTATGGATCGTAAGAAAAATATACACACAAAAGGGAAAAAATAGTTATCTCTATCTATAAAAGGCAGGACGTGTGTGTGTGTGGTGTGTGTGTGTGTGTGTGTGTGTGTATGTAACGAATGCACGGCAGCAATTTTCGACGGATTTGCACCAAAATTTACATACACATGCTCCAAGTTAGCGAGAAGGCCAACACCGACATTGCATTTCCCAACTCACATCGATAGTGAAAATAATCGATTTTTTCATGCTTCTACGGCAGTTTTCATGTAGTTTGCGGCCATTTTGTACTGGCTAGAGTGAGAGCCTATAGCTGGCTGCCACGAATAGGCAGGGAGATTCTATTGGCCAGCGTGAGAGCCAACAGCTGACTGACACGAATCTTAACTAGCATGCTAGCTTGCAAAAAAAAAAAAAAAAAAATCGATAGCTGCATTCGTCACAAGTGGGAAAAATTTAAATCTGCATGGCACTTTACTCCAATTGGCTCATACGCTTGCTTAAACTCAACGTTGATTCTGATTCCGTAGAACTGGGTTGGGTGTGAAAAAGTATTTGTTGTTAACATTCTTTTTTCATTCGGTTTTTCCAGTTACGAGTCCTTTTTAAACCTGATCGTTTTGTGTTCATTTTGTTTAGTTCTTTTTTCGTAACAGATTTAATGTTTAGTATAGAGCTTAGAAAAAATTCTCAGTGTGAGATAGGCAAGAAGTAAGGCATGTAGCAACATCAGCACGGCAAAGGGCACACCTTTAAAGGCAAGGAAGGGCAAAAATATTTTAAGTCAAGTGATAACGATTGCTGCATGAGTCGTACGATTTTTGAATCAAGCACGGGCAACGCCGGGCCATACTGCTAGTAGTTACTCAGCGGTAAGAAAACAGCGCTTGGAATTGTTAAAAAGTATAACATGAATAATAGAATGGTCAAAAAAGAAAATGAAAATATTGGCAAGATAAGAAAAAAAAAAACCTAAAATCACTGGCTTCAAGAATGTCGCAAAAACAGATTTGAGAAAAATTAAAGAGGTAATATACAATTAAATTGACCGGGAAGAAGATATTTGAAGCTGATCTTGTGAAGAATATAACCAGAAAGAAAAGGTGCAGAATATTATGGATGTTGGCTAAAGATGTGAAAGAAACCAAAGTACCACCCTTAAGTAAACACCAGAAAGATAAATGTGTAAGTTAGATGAAAATTAAATTTTTAAAACTGATTTTTAGGGATGAATATATATATATATATATATATATATATATATATATATATATATATATACATTTGATGGAGCTCTTAGCTGAGTTAAAAGTTGGGCGTTTTTATGAAAACAATCGAACAGTACGTCTGAGAAAGTAATAAAGTAGGTATATATCTACTTTTTGGCTAAAAAAAGAGTATAACAAAAGAGGGCCTAAAATTGATGAAAACGATGTCAAAATGTTTATTTTATTATTAAGAGGAAAGAGCAAAGTATTTTTGCTTATTTTCTAATCCTTTTTAGCGTGGTCGAAATTTTGCTTAAAGATTTATGTATTTTGTCAGTGGCTGGTCCCAAATTACTTATGGGAATTTAACGTCTTTCTGGCGGTAAAAAAAACAAAAAAAACAACAAATTCTTTTGGAAATTCTTGAAAAATTCAAATAAATGTCAGATTTTAATGGAATTTTCAGGACTTATTCACAAATGAATTAATTTTTTTAGAAAATCTTAGTAAAAATATCTTTTTTACACATGTTACCCCCACTTAACTGCCTGAAATTTAGAGAAATTAAAATTTCAGCCTCTTTACATTTGTATTAGTTAAAAGCGGGACACTTAGGAGAATTTAATTTATTTTGTTTTTGTGAAACAGAAACACCATTTACCAAAAATCTGCTCTGAATCATAAAATAAAAAATACAATAAAATGACATTATTAGAAAAGCTTTAATTTATTAAAAGCTTTTATAAATATATTATGTATACGCATATTATGGGCATTATTGTCTTAAGAAATTTTTTCCATGAGTAAGTTTTATAAAAATTGTTTTCGTTTTTTTTTTTAAATAATTACAAAAAATTATTAAATTTTAAAGCTTTTAAATTTCTGTATTAATTTCAACCATTTAGATCATATTATTATTAAGTAAAAAATATATTTACTAATCATAAATTTTAAAGATTAATACCAGTCTTCAAAAACCAAGATTTTTAAAATAATTTTGAATTTTTTATGTATATAAACGCGCCCATTTTGGAAAGTATGGGCCACTATGTATGACATTATCAGAAAATAAGCGCGATGACTATAATAAATTTAACATTCCTAAAATTAGATTACGGAGAACATTTTACAAAATTTTAAATATTACTGAGAACTTATATGTTATATAAAACGGCCATTTTTTAAAATTATGTTTTACTGATAAGGACTCCGTAGAACAACAATAAGCCTGTCATTACCTCGTGAATGACAAACGTAGCGACTGTCGAGTTAAAAAAATGCATTTCTGCGAAGTTTTAAAATTAAAGTAAATAATATTTATTTCAAGTCAGATTAATCATACCTTAAATCAGCTAATATTCCTCAAATAAACTTTCAGAAAAGTATATTTTATTTTTGGAAGATTTTTTTTAATAAAGCGAACTACATTACAATGAAAGTCGATTAAAAAAAAGAGGCGCTAATCAGCTATTTTAGCAAAAAAGGGGAAGCTTAGTTTAGTAAATATCGCATACATTTATTTGCTTTTATCAGGAAACCTGCTGATTAACCAAATGGGAAATCTATCCACGTCCCCACTGGTAAAAATATGTGAATTCCCCACCCCCTCACCCAAATCCAAAGATTGAGAATATTCAGAGCTCTTCCCAACCCTCTTCACACTGCACGCACATATAACCAGGTTGTTGCCATGTTGTATGTTGTGTATGAACATGTGTGGATCAGGCAATATGGCTGCCTGCTTACCAGGTGTAGTGCTGGGATGTGATATCTTGGTGGTGGTGAGGATGATAGGGGCCGGGCTGTATGGGCGTTGTTTCAACAGCCTTCCCGAAGACCTCATTTATAATGATCAACTGTTTCCATGTGATACCTGTCATCACTTGCACCTGTATCGGAGCAAACGGTAATAGTGCAGCTTCTGCCTTCTAAATGTTTGGAATCTCCTGAGTGATGGTCAGAGAAGGTGGTCTAGTCGGATAGAGGAGAGGGTTACATTTTTTTTTTCCTGAATGAATGTGTGTGCGTGTGTTGGGAGTTCATTGTTTCTACGTTTGCCACGTGTGTCTTTTCTCTCTTTTTTTTTTAATTTTTGGTGGCTGGGTGGAAGGAAGGGAGGAGAAAGAAGGATTTTTTTTTTCTTAAATTGTTTTTCCCCGTCTTTTGGGTTGCTCATTGTTCTCTCTTTTTTTTCTTCTCTCATCTCTTGTTTATTTTATCTTTTTTTTCTTCTTCTCTCATCTCTCGTTTATTTCTGATGAGGTTTGCTCATTACTTCACACGTCTCTTCTTCATCGCTTTTCAACAATTTTTCTTTTTTCTTTATTTTCCCTCGTTTCCTTTTTCTTGTTTTGCATATTTATTAGATGTTTTTTACACTTCTTTCTTCTGTTTCTTTTTTTCTGTTTCTTTTTTTTTCTTTTTTGTTTCCTTTTTTGTTTTTTTTCTGTTTCTTTCTTTGTCATTCTCACTTTTTATCATTTCTTTTTTATTCATTTTATCATTTCTTTTTTATTCTTTGTATTTCTGCGTTTTTCTTTTTCTTTCATTATTTTTCGTTTTTCACTTTGAATCTTTTTTTCTTGTTCATTATCTTATTCTTTTTCTCCTTTTAGTATAACTTTTTCATTTTTTTTTGTGTACATTCTTTTACTTGTTCATATTCTTTCGTATTCTTCTTATTTTTTTTCGGAATTGTTTCTTTTCAAATTTCTTTTCATCTTTCTTTCTTTTTTAGACTATTACCTTCGTTCTGTTTTCACGAACCTTTCTTTTCTTTTTCTTTCTTTTTTCTCAATCTTTTTAATTTCTATTTTTTCTTTTCTTTGTCTTTACAAACAGCTTTCTTTCATTTTCTTTCTTTAAGCTATAATATTCATTTTGTCTTCACTAACCTTTTTATTTTTCTTTCTTTCTTCTTCACTTTCATCTTCCTTTTTCGCCATTTTTGTCTCTCCTTTCATATGTTTCTTCCTCCTTTTCACATTATTACTTGCTTTCTTTCTTTCCTTCTCGTCTTTCTCACTCTTTTCTCTCTTTCTTTACACCTCGTTCTCCTCTCATTTTCCCTACCTTTCTTTCTTTCACTGTCAGTGTTTTTACTCACTTTCGTCCGTTCTTCTTCTTCTTCTTCTTCTTCTTCTTCTTCTTCTTCTTCTTCTTCTTCTTCTTCTTCTTCTTCTTCTTCTTTACGAATCTTCCTTTCTTGCTCATTTTTACACCATTAGCTTCCTTTCGTCTTCAAATGTCTTTTTTTGTTTTCAATATTCTGCACATGCTCATCAGTAGTAAAGTCCTTTAGGCACTTTTATTAATTTTTTTTTTTTTCACGCGGAGGAGAGGGTGTCATATTCAGATATAAACAAAGAAACTTGTATTGTTTTAATGGTATTGTTGCATGACGGAAGAGCTTCACGTAGAAAAAGTGTGAAGAAAGATAGAAGAAAATAAAAGAAAACGGAAAGTATAAAATGGCATTTAGAAATGAAGAAGGGCGAATGGAAAAAGCTAAAAGTGGGAAGTGAAGTGGGACAAGAAAGAAATGAAAAAAAAAAAAAAGAAAAATGTAAAACGGAAGAACGAGCACAGACAAAGGAGTGTGAATGAACATTTCCGAAAAAGAAAAAAAAATGACAAAAAGAAAAAAAGCACGAATAAAAATATTAGAAAATCAAGTGATATAAATAAAGAAGCAAAGACAAAAACCCGAAATGGAAAGAAAATGAATGTAAAACAGAAATGAAAAATGAAAAAGAAAAGGAGATAGAAGTGTAGCACGAAAAGAAGAATGAAAAAAAGAAAGAAAAGAATAAAGAAAGAGAGAACGAAAGGCAGCAAGGAGGAAATTTAAAAAAAAAAAAAAATGAAAAGCATAGAAGCAAGGAAGGAATGAAGAGAAAATTATGAGATAATGAAGTTTTAAAAGGAAGGAAAGAGCAAAAAAATGAAAGTAAATAAAAAAGAAAAAAGTGAATAAGAATGATAGAATGAAAAAAAAAAGAAAGAAAATACAAAGAAGGAAAGAAACGAGAAATGAAACGAGTAAAAAGAAATAAGAAAAAGATAAAATAGAAAAGGAAAAAAAGGAAAGAAGCAAGCAAGCAAGAAAGAACAATGGATGAAGTAAAGAAAGCACCAATTAGTGTATAAAAGAATTAAAATAAAGAATAAACATACACAGTGAAAAAAAAATATGAAAAAAAACCTACCGACTGGAAGCCCATTTTTTTCAAGAAAAAAAAAGCCAGAGAAAAATGACTTTTCTAATTCAATCTGACAGAGCGCTTTATTTGACTTTTTTTTGTTGTAGTTATAGCATTCTATGCTTTTTTTCTTTTTTTTTCGGATTGAACTAAAATATTAAGTAGAAGTAACTGGACTTGGACAAAAACGTTATAACCAAGCAACGATTTGGTCGTTTATTTTACATATATATTGATAGTTCATAATTCAAAACCGTAAAGTCTTTTTGATATTGTTGAAAGAAAATATCAATAGAAATAAAATAAAATAAAAACACGCACAACAATATTTTATTATGAAAGAAAACGACGACTTTAAAAATTACCTTCATTTTTCTGAGGAAAAATAATGATAAAACAACCAAACAAACCTTGTTTCCCCTGTGGCTATACTGTTAATAAAAATCATGAAGATGAAGAGCTGGAAGAAGTCCAGGACTACATCTACTTATAACAGATGAAGTTATTAAAGAAATATCATGAAAAGGATAAATACTCTTGATAAAAATCATAAAAATGAAGATGAAGAACTGGAAGAAGTCCAGGACTACATCTACTTATAACAGATGATGTTATTAGAGAAATATCATGAAAAGGATAAATACGCTTGATAAAAATCATAAAAATGAAGATGAAGAACTGGAAGAAGTCCAGGACTACATCTACTTATAACAGATGAAGTTATTAAAGAAATATCATGAAAAGGATAAATACTCTTGATAAAAATGAAGATGAAGAACTGGAAGAAGTCCAGGACTACATCTACTTATAACAGATGATGTTATTAAAGAAATATCATGAAAAGGATAAATACGCTTGATAAAAATCATAAAAATGAAGATGAAGAACTGGAAGAAGTCCAGGACTACATTTACGTCTACTTAGAACGGATGGAGACATTAAAACGATAAAGACAAAAAATTAAAATAAAGACCATGAAAACGATATAAAATCACAGATAACGATCGTTTGAAGAGGATTTCATAAATAGGCATAATGAAACGTAGTTTGCCAATAGGCTCTAGACATAAAACGTAGTTTGCCAATAGGCTCTAAACATAAAACGTAAAATGAAAGTATAATTGCAGCTAAGACGTAAAGGCGCAAATCATAAAAAAAAAAAAAAAAAAAAAAGGGACAACTTAAAAACGCACAAAGATCTATAAAAAGCGGAATTTAATGGATTTTCCGTCTTTCCGGAAAAGTTCATTCACACTCCTTGGCTGACTGAAAGAGAGCAAAATAAGCTAAGAGAAGCGGTATCATAGAAGTGCTTAAAACTCACAAAATGAGGTGGGTGAAACATATAGAAGTAAGAAAGGCCAACAGATAAAACAAAAAAGTTGATTCGTGGTCAATGCATAGAAAAAGAAATAGAAAAAAACGAGATAGAAGTGGGATAAATAGGATAGAATTATGTTCTAACAGAGAATAAGAAAAAGAGTAAAGCAAAGAATAGTATAGTTATGGAAGAATCAAGAAAGTCTCTTTGCCCAGCAGCAGATTTCCAATGGCTGATGATGAATCTTTGACTAGCTTTCATCATTTTATTGCTTTTTAATTCTGTGCTAAATATTTTCTGAACCTTAAGTAGAAGTAAGATGAAATAAGAAATGTTACTTCTAAAAAGCTATTGAACATACATTCTATATATGTTGTGGACTAAATAAGGCACCCCCCCGGTAACACAAATGAACTAGGCAAGACGCCTTAAATGAAAAAAAAATAAATAAAAAAAAAAAAAATAAAGCGAGTCGCAGGCACACGATAAGACAAGACCTCCGTCTTCGGGTAGAGGATGACTTGGGTTCTGTTTTTCGATAGGGACTCGGCTGACAGCACCGTATCAGAGCCCACTTTGGCAGGCGCTGGGTAAATTTTTACTAGTGGCCCTGTCGGAAACTCTCGGGTTCCCCACAGTAAACTTGATCATGTATCTAATCTAGTTCGCAGTGGGGCGACCGGTAAGTCAGTCGGAGTCAGGTAGTCTTACTGTCTGGCTTGCGACTGTAAAGTTCTCTGTCCTCGGGCAGGGTGCTACTTAGTCGGAGCTCTGTCTACGGACAGAGACTCGGCTGAGAAAAATAGAAAATGCAAAGTGCCCGACCCTGCGGGTGCACGGAGCTGGATAAATTTTGAACTTAGACCCGAGTGTACGTGCTCGGGTTCCCGACACTAAACGCGACCTTGTGTAAGATCTTGTTTCAGAGGGGAGACTGGGTAAATAACAGTCTGTCGGTGTCAGTCCAGAGTTCGATAAACCTTACCCAGACCGATTCTAGTCTCGCTTCCCGCTCGACGTATTGTTGTCGCTAACCGCGATTGAAACTGGTATTTTGTGTTGGAAGAACTGTTATAGTTTACGTTGTTTGTCTTTTATTTTTACGTTTCTTTTACTGACTGTTTTGTGGAAGTGTTTTGAATTTTCTTTTTCACCCTTCCCAGTCTGTTTTTTTAATTATTTTTTGTTGCTATTGTAACATCTATTTTCACTAATCTATTCATTTATTTTTTGTGTATATTATATTTTAATTTTCAGTTTCTTTTATCTTCCCGCCCAGTCCGTAAGATTAATTTTTTTATTTTATTTTTTCGTATATCTTCTCTTTAGTTTTCATTTTCTACGTAACCCGGATATAAGAGAGTTGTCGGGACCGGAGAAGAAGTCTCTTATATCCGGGTTTCTCTTATATCCGGGTTTGGTTTGGTCTATTATATATACATTAACACAGGCTGTAATTTGGGACCAGAGAAAATCTCTCTTATATCCGGGTTTCTCTTATATCCGGGTCGCTTATATCCGGGTTACACTGTACTTCTTTTTTGTGCCCTAAAGTTAATTTTTACCCGTCTCCGCCCAGCCGCAGGACAAGCTTAAATTTATCTTTTTTTTTTTTTTTACTTTTCGTGCTAATCGGCCATTTTGTTTAATCGATTAAAATTTTTACACGTCTAAGTATTTTTATAATTTTTCTTTTGTAGTAATTATTTCATAGTTTGTTTATTTTGATGGTTTAATTTAAAGCAAAAAAAAAAGGGAAACCTTTTTTTACTTTTTGTTCTCTTTTTTTATTGTTAAATTTCTTTTCCTTTTTGTGAATGTGTTTTTTAATTTGTGTAACGTTTTTTTTTTAAGTCAGGACCATTTTGTTACACCATCTTGAGCCGGTCTTTTTGTTTCATTGTCTTTGTAAATATATTTTTCATTGTTCTATATCTGTTTAAGATTTTCTGCTATTGATTTAATTTTAAGAAATTTCCCTGTTTTCCGTTAAAAATAAAGAAAAGGGCCGGTAAATATCGGCTAATTAAAAAATACCTGTTTAAGGCGAAAAAGAAAAAAAAAACCCGATAAAATGCACTCACTCAGCAAAAATTGACAGACAAATAGATTCAAAGGAAAGGATGAAAGCCAAGAATAGCCAAAATCAAGTAAAGGTGTTGCTAACTGACTCCAGTAATAACAACAGCAAAAGCGAAAACGAAAATGCAGTGGCCGGGGACTCACCCTCTTGCTGGACATTGCCATCGAATTACATAATCAACATGATGAAGTTCCTGAAGAGAGCCAAGAGCTACCAACATCTTATCAAAGAATATGGGCTCTTGGTAAGCCTTCAAGAATCACAGAAGGTTGAAAATGAATTGTGTCAAAATTTTTGGTCGACAAGCCTTTGCGCAAAATTTGTCGCGTCACAAAATACACTGTCATCAAATCCCTGATGTTCCTGGGGATGAAATCCCAAAGAATCATAAGAAGCAAGCGATATTTTATGTGAGATGTACTGTTACCGAGGCCTACCTGTCCAGAGAAGAAGGCCTCTGGAGTTCTGGCCTCCTCCGTTCAAAACCTCACTTTGGCCGAGTCTGTTATTTTCGACTCTATTGGGCGTGCCGGCGACCATGACCGGAGAGATAAAACCTCAAGCTGGACACATTTTGCGGTCCCCATTCCCCGAAAATCCTTTGCCCGCCGCTTGTGCATT